CCGATAGTTATTGATGTCTGATTTTGCCCACGCTTTCCGCATGAATTCTGTTTCATGAAGAACAACCATGCTATTAAGCAGTTCGGCTTTTTTAGAAATCTGTGATAAATGTCTCATGTCCATTTCCTTCTAAGTATTTATGTTATATGCCGCCGGAATTATGCGGAAGTGCCATCGAAGTCACTCGGATACCCTTCGAAACCGGATGTCGTCTCCCGGCCGTTTCATCGGCGTTGTTCCTTGACAAAACAGCTTGTCTAAAAGGCAATTCGTGCGGCCAATGTTCGGTCAGAAGAAGTGAATTCGTTGCGAAGTGCTAAAAAATCATTTCGCCTCCGCTCTCAGGAGAATTCACCCGGAGGACGGAGTTGTCGCTCGGCCGCACGAACACCGACCTCCAATCGATGTACATGCACACCATGTTCGCATAGCGATATGGAGGACAAGAACAAAGAAAAGAAAAGCTTAAATGACTGATGGAAATTGTTACGATAATTTCACATAAAAATGAAGTAGGAATTTGAAAGCATCTGTTCCTGATAGTACTTTGATACCAAGCAAAACTTTTGTAGATATCCCAGACGCTCCTTAAGAATAGCGTTACTGACGAAACAGGGTTCTCTGTAAATTTTCACATATCAAGTTAATGATTATCTCCCTTAAGGCAGGCAAAAATGTTGTTGAAACAGAGCGGTTGATGAACGTTGGAGCTACCTGGTGCGAGGCTTCTTTTTAAGAGGAGAGCGATTGTGATCATCTGAATCACCCAAGGGCTTTAAAGTAAAATCAAGCAAAAAATAGAGAGAAGGGTTAACAAAGAGCCTATGAAAAGAGAACGTACAGATATACAGAACGTGGATTTCAGCCCATACTGCTTCCGAAGGTAGAAAAATGTCTATTAAAAAACAACACACGTAGGTATTAAGTAGCTATTAGATAGAACTTAAAAATGAGTAAAATATTTGAAACAAATTATATCATTCCAAAAACGATACGTACGCTGTTTTCAGTAGTTCAGCAAAACAACTTTTTGGTCTGCTAACCCCCTAGAGAGCTAGGCCTGTAAATGCTTAGGCTATGTACTATCTGGTAGAAAACACGTTTCATGTTATGAAAAATCAAACTTAAAGCTGCATATAAACACATCGAAGTATACACAAAGAAAACACTGAGTTGCGTGAAATTTTGCTAAAAATGGTTTACTAGCGTGAAAAAATCCCATTAGATGAATTATTGGCACAACTCTCCCGGCAAGAATTCGCCACTAGTGCCTTTCAGCACCTACAATACAGTTCAGATATTTAAAATAAGCATACCGTTTAGAGTGACGCTTGCCCGGCACTTTGAGAATGTCCCATTCGACGCTGGGATAGTAATCGCTCAGATCGATCCCTAAATCAGGGGTTGGTGTTGGTGCCAAATCAATTTATTCGTTTCTTTGAGTTTACCGCAGATATAACTAATATTGCAGGTGTGAAAGAATGGGAATGATGAAAATGACGTAAACGCGCTATGGCGTGTCGAAGAAACAGAGAAGAAAGTTCGAATAAATCGACAAAAGTGTTACACTGGATTCGTCAAAAGCCGTCCAGTGTTATTTGTTCCTCCTGTGTTGAGATGAGTAGTTGCACTTAACGAGAAAATCAAGTTCTAAATTGCATTAGATCGGAATATCTACCGAAAAGTCAGTGACAGGTGGTAGTTTATAACCAGAAAGACCACGAAATTCTTCCCCCATGGATGGAGAGCGCATAAATCGACATGAACTGAAATGCAGAAGTGAGCCGTTACTTGGATGAATCTCTGAGATTCGCAAAGCGCCATTTTTCTTAACGTTGAACATTAAGTGTCATATCTGGGCCTTAAATCAGCAACATTGAGCCTGAAAGTTGCACGATTTCAAGAGTTTTCAGAAATCGTGTAAACCGAATATAAGAAACTGAAAGGCCTGATGACAACATAGAAAAACTATGAAATGTAGGAGAAGTTAATTGATTTGCTTTCACGAGACGAAGACCAGATGAAGTAAAGTTAGTAACGCTGGATGTTCTCATGTTCTTAAGCTCTTACGTAGCATGCTTGTAATCATCCGATTGGAAGCAGTTAGTTAAAAAGATAAAACATGAATTCGTCGTTTTCTTGTTCAGCAAACGCGAGGTTTTTAAACAGCATGCAATTACTTCCATAGAAAAACACAATAGAATATAACAGTAGCTGACGTTTCGGCAATATCGCCTTCTTCAGAGCCGCTTTTTTCGTGACTTCCAATGAGGAAGTTTAGAACAGCTGATTATAGTCACACATGGTTGACTACTGCCATGAAGAAGGCGATACTGCCCAAACGTCAGCTAGTGTTGTATTGTATTGTGTTTTTCTACGGAAGTAAATGTATGCTGTTTAAAAACCTCGCGATTGCTGAACAAGAAATCGACGCATTCATATTCCAATGCCGAGGTTAAGAGAAAGTCGATCCTGGGAAATTATGAATTATTCGGTGTTGATCAATCCGTGAGAGATGGGTTATTTCGATCCAAGGAGCGTAAAAAACGGCAACGAACGATATTTAAGTTTGCAGGAGACTTCTAATGTCCCAAGACAGTGTTTTCATCACCTAGTAGAAGTTTGTTACTAATTTGTGGACTTCAGGTTGACAGTGGATTTACTTGGACACGGTGTGAAACCAAATCACATATGTCCTGCTGGACATTTCTTGCCACTACGTTACACGCCCCGATCAAAGGAACAGTCCAGAAAACCACTGAATGTGTTTTTGATATCTCGACACGACGACAACGACACCACATCGAGAAGACGAACGACTGTGGGCATTGACTCCGATTATCAGTTCTGAGGAAGACGATGACGCCGAAACATTAACCGAATGAAACCTAAATAACCACCTCGTGAAGGCTGAAAAATTCAAAGAAACATGTTGATTAATCATGCCGTGATTAAGTGAATGCCGGTTTAATAACAAATTTTACACTTTTTGTGAAAGGATCTCTCCAAAAACATGACGGAAAATATAATAGAACACGATGGAAAATTCCAATATTCAAATCTGGCTTTTGCTCCGTGCAAATGACACGGATCACTTTATGCCTTTTTACTCATCTCAAATACTTGGAATACTTGGATGGCCCGTCCCGTCCTCAGAGGCTGTGCGGGTTCGGGCATAATTCCCATTTTCGAAGTTTTGCTGGTTTATCCATCGTGTTTCTCTGGAATCCTAAGGTCAGCCTAGCCAAAGTCTGCTCTAGGTCGTCACCACCACAGGTAGTCGCAGCCCTTGTGGAACAGAGAAAGATTTGCCACTATGCGACTAGTTTAAACCAGAACGGTGGTGGATCCTTGTATTAATTTACTTTTAGCTGGGTTTCCTGATAGAAATACCGGACTTCTGCTCAGCCTAGGAGACCGTACTGAAGGAATGAATCCCCCGCTGTACATCGTAGCCCGACGTCAAGGAACATCTCCCAGCCATCTCCCAGGCGGTAAGCCGTTGAGAGGTATCTCCTAAAACGTCTTAAACATATACTAAAATTGGAATGTCAAATAAATGTCGAAAATTTCCAGATGTCTAGAAACGCTTCATAACATGGAAAACACATTTGCGAATCTACTTTCTCGGTTGAAATCCCTTTCAATCTAAGCAAGTGAACATCATAGCGATAGAAAATGACAGTCAATTCATCTTTCTGGTCTTTGGTCTCTGAAACCTTACTGCTCATAAACGCTAGCAGATTTACCAGTGCCGTGAAAAGTTACAGCACTTATCAAACCAAAAAATCGAAAGAAACAAGATACCTTCATTGACAATCCATACAGACTCTTCGATGGTTCCATCAACACCTTCAACCAGCTCCACTGTCTCTTCTTGGAGATGTTCGTCTTTGTGGATCAAATCAACCTCCAAACCACCGTATGTCCAGGAGCCTATAAATACCACTCTGATAAGCGAAAAATATTCAGAGGTATTGGTCTTCTCTAATTTCATATCGGATCCCTGTAGCACACTATTGAGAGATATATGATGTTCATTTGGAAAATCACTTCAGAACATTGTATTTTTATATAGAAAAAGGATACAGTATTCGGCGCTGATCAATCCTTTTGGGAAGCGTCGCGCATAAGATTCCATTAAGCATGGTAAAGGTGCATAAGTAGTGTGGGAGAATGCATATCTGGTCCATACAAAGGCTTGCAAGAGCCTGCCAAAACATAATGCCAGATAGATGTTAGATATTTTAACTTCTCTGAGATGTCTAGTAGGAATTCGGCATTTCTGAAGTGAAGGTGGATTTGAATGAGCCGAGGTCACTGAATCGAATTATCGAAGGAACCTCTATCCACTTCGATAGACGCGCCCTCCTTTTTTTAACTCCATTGTTTTCACAAATGAATAATTAAACAGCACATGCTTAAAGAATGGGAGCATGTAGAGTATTAACAAGAAGTGTCCTCCAATGCACATGTAGTGTATGGTTTAATCTTGTGCTAAGGGGTCACCAAGGGTTCCATCCCTTCGGGGTGGAGAAACTGGCATTGGACTAGTCTGGGAGGACTGTAGCACTGATTTGATACATGGGGCCACCGCAAGTCATTATATAGGCCAAATAAGCGTTTTGTCATCTGCAACGAAGTAAGCGAAGTCGAATGTATGGGAGAAAGATCGCCATGTCCCTATTGATGAGTGCTACAATTCGGTCATCTTGAAATCGCTATAGCGCTATTTTTCATGAATATTAACACATTTCACGCTCATTAAACATTTTTTCGACTGCAAAACAAATTTCAGAGGAAAGGAAGAACGTGTAATCATTTCCAAAGTAAACAAAGAAGATGATTGCTGTACATAATTGCACCAATGAGCTTTTCATAACCAGAAATTCTAGGGAGGCTTGACAAGACTCATTGGTGTGAAAGCTTCGGATATGAAGAATAGAACAGCTACGCTGTCAATCGGGATTTACCTACTGAAAGAGGACGGCACTAGCCAGCTACTCACCAAACTTCATTTCACACTGTTGTCGATCGAATGGAAAGAATTCGACATCAATCTGACACATGCTGAAATGAGGAAATCTCATCTGAAGTAAAACTGAAGCCCTCCGAATTGGCAAAACAACTAGACGACTTGGCTTCCAGGAAGGACTCACCTCTTGTAGATTGCCGGTGGTGCCCATTCAACAGTACCATTGTATGACAACTTGGCTTTTGTCATAATGGTGACTTGATAGTTTCCATCAGCACTACAATAAAATTTATCGGAAGGGTGGGAGCAAGATGGAAGGTGTTAATAGATTGTTGAGCTAAGAAATATCAGTCGGAAAATCACTCAGATCACTTGAAGCTTCACATGTAATTAGCAGGCAAAGTTAGGGCCAAAGAAAACGGTAGAACTCACAAAGCAACAATAATAATAATGACAATAATGAAAATAGTAATAGTAACAATAACAGTAAATTTCTGTGAAACATATCCCACTACAAATATTGGTTGGTAAAATGAGTATCCACGGAACTCCCTCATATAAGGGATCTCGAGCCGGTTAGCCGCGAGGCTACGTGGCGCGTCCTCAGGTGGCGGATGGGGGGTTAATCGCAGACCAAAAGCGACCCTTGCTTCACTGAGACTCAGGTGGATCCAGCGGATAGACTCTCTGTTTCTGCTGCACTGATTTGGCACATACTTTCTGTATTCGATAGACGTATCCATGCATGCGTGTGTGGGTGCGTTCTCGCTTATGCGGATTGTATTCTGCAAGTCAACTCGGCAAAAGCCTGCAATCAAGCGACTGGAAAGTATATGGCAGGCGGTTAGTAGACGCCTCTAAGAAATAAGCTCCATGCTCTCTCTGCGAAAGCCTGGAAACCTACCCATGAGTATACCCAGGCCCCACGTTCAGAGCCTATCAAGCTATAAGTGGGTATCAAAAACAGTAAACACAGTGAAAAAAGTGGGTCTCATTTCCTTAACCCCGAAGGAGCCCCAATTTCGCAGCGTTGGACAAGTACGGAGATTATGCTAAAATCTCACGTCCAATGGAAGCTGCCTGCATTTCAAAGAACTATGGTGACGATCTGTGCTTACAATGCACATACACTTGCATCGGAGTCACCGATAGAAGAAATGCTCATGCAAGCAAGAAGGATAAGGAACGACGTCATCGGCCTGGCCGAGACGAGAAGATGCCAGCCTTTCAATGCCGTCTATGATACCAGAGAAAAACTGTTCCTCGGAACGTGCGACAATAGAGAAGTCGGTGGCGTCGGTGTTCTCGTCAACACGAGTTTGTATATGAACATCGATTCATTCGAACAGCTTAAAACCCGAAACGGACGTTTACGATTAAAAAGGTGTGGATCAATGTCGGCTTTGACAACCTTCGTCGTTTACGCGCCGATATCAAACTAGGACGAAGAAGAAGTCGAAGCGTTCTATATGGACTTAGAGAAGTTCTACAGAGAAGACCACACATTTTCAAGGTCATCATTGGAGGTTTCAACGCCAAGATTGGTCTAAGAAGAACGCCTGATGAACGTCACATTGGATGCCACGGATTGGAATAAAACGAACAGCGTGAGTGGCTTTCTGAGTATATCATGGCGACCAAGACCATTCGTGGTAACTCGCAATTCCAGAAGCTCCACCTTCAGCGCTGGACGTGGGAGTCTCCCAGTGGAGAGTACATAACGAAATAGACCACATCATGGTAAATAGAAGGTTTTGCCTAACCGACGTCGCTTTTGTTCCAAAATTCCACACGGGACCAGACCATCGTCTCCTTCGTGCAAGATTCTATTTCTCGCGGAAAGGAGAAAAAGCCGCTAAACTCCAAAACCGAAGTCCCAGAACCACCGCACATTGGGACTTATTGAATTCATTAGTCGGCTATTGGGAAGATGTCGTTGTCGATAACATCGACGAAGAATTCGATTGGCTCATTCAACATCTTCACGTTAGCGCTATGAAAGCTGAGAGTTTGAAGGTCACGTTTGTCTCCAGAAACACTAGAGCTGATACGCCAGAGTGGAATCGCACGAGCTGCAAGCAACCGCGAATTAACATCCGAACTTGCAAAACAATGCAGGAAGGCGATATAAAATGGTCTTAAAAAGAGAAGAGCAGCAGTAATGGTTGAAGCTGCAGAGGCTGGAAAAGCATTCGCAAAGCACACCGAAGCTTCACCAATTACAAGACAAAAATGACTGCTCTCCGGTGCACAGACGGAACAATTACAACGACCAGAATGGCAATGGAGGAAATCATTCACGAATAGTACTCGGATCTCCTCGATAGCCACGTCCACCTTCCGTCATATGAAATAAAGGAGGAATAAAGGAGGTTGTACCACCGGTTCTCTCTTCCGAAATCGGACATGCCATTTCGTCGGTGAAAAATCGGACAGCACCAGATCTGGATGGGATACGACCAAAACACCTGCAGAACTTTTCGCCAGTCCTCGCAAACACACTTGCTCGGCTCTCCACACGTTACCTGTCTGAGTGCAAATTCATTACTCAGTGGAAGACCAGCAAGACCGTGTTATTGTTCAAGAAGGGTGACCTACACGATATCTGCAACTATCGTCCAATCTGCTTACTGTCTGTCGTCTACAAACTTTTCACTCGAGTCATCCTAAACACGATTGACAGAACACTAGACGAAGGACGGCCATGTGAACAAGCAGGGTTTCGAAAAGGATTTAGTACGATGGGCCGAACCCACACGGTAACATGGCTCATTGAAGTAACGCGAGAGTAACAAAGACCGCTCTGTCTCACTTTTATCTATTTAAAGAAGGCCTTTGATTCAGTTGAGATAGAAGCAGTCTTGGAAGCTCTTGATAGTCACGGAGTCCCTACTCAGTACATAAAGATTCTACATGAACTGTACAAAAATTTCACAGCTAACGTATCACCATTCTACAGCGATATTAACACTGACGTCAAAAAAGGAGTTAGGCAAGGCGATACCATTTCGCCAAAATTATTTACCGCCACCTTCCAGAACGGCATACGAACATTGAAATGGGATAATATGGGAGTGAAAGTCGATGGTCGGCACTTACACCATCTTCGTTTTGTTGATGACATCGTCCTTACAACGCCAAACATTAGCCAAGCGGAGCGTATGCTTGATGACTTTGATAAAGCCTGTAGAAAGATTACTCTTCGACTAAATCTCACAAAACTATGTTCGCGAAGAACGGATTGGTTTCGCATGCCCCATTCACGCACAATGCAACGAATATCTCCGAATGCTCCAGTTATATCTATCTAGGTCGGAAAATCAATATGATGAGCGACCTAGCTCCAGAGCTGAGCTGAAGGAAACGAGCGGTTTGGAGAGCTTTCAAGAGCATCGAGGATGTAGTGAAGATGACAAAGAACACCTGACTCCATGCCCACCTTTTCGACTGAACGATACTTCCTGCCCTAACACGTGCATCCGAAAGCTGGTCGCTGCATAAGCAGGATGAAAGGTCACTCAGCGTTATCGAACACGCAGTCGAAAGGATGATGCTAGGAGTATCCCGTTCCACACGAGTAGGTGATGGGATCCGAATCTCCGATCTGCGTCAGCGATCAAAAATCGAGGGTGCCGTTCTGTACGCCAAACAGTCGAAGATAAGATGGGCCAGACACGTTATGCGTATGAATAACAACTGATGGACAAGAGCCGTCAGTGACTGGATTCCTCGGGATATCAAACGTACTGCAGGAAGACCACCGACCCGATGGTTAGAGTTTTTCGCAAGAAGCCTAGAAGAAAGATATGATGTTCGACGAGTCCCTAGGTCAAGCAGAACCCAGTGGACTACTCTTGCACTCGACAGGGAAAAATGGAAGATTTACTAGCGTCCGCTCGGGTCACTCGACGCTCCACGGGACTACAGGTGGTACAAGTGAAGACGAGCACTGTGTTAGATTTCTAAGGTTTCGTACGATCGAATAGGAAAATAGTCATAAAAAATTGCTAATAAAGAAAAAGATGAAAAGAGAGAAAAAAGGAAAGAAGAACCCAGATACACAATTACAGATCTATTAAAAGTAATTAAAGTCTACTGCCTATGGCAGGTCTTCGGTAAAACTCGATTCACTATGAGTTAAGCTGTTCACTTCAAACATATTAAGTAGAGCATTTTACATCATATGATTGTTCAATAAATAACTTACTTATTATAAAGTACTATATCTGGTAACCAAATCGTGTCTGAAGGCACGTAGAGAACGTCAACACCGCCATAGTCATCAGGATTCCATCGCAGTTTGTAATCCGTCCAACTCTGACAAGAAAAAAAACGACAGCTCTCCTTTTTTGAACGATTGGCCAATTCATGTGTAAAATACTGTCAGGAGAATGAGTTTGCTCCAAGGAAATCTCCAAATATAACATATCCGAGCAATTATTTTGAATCAAGAACTCCAAAGGAAACCCCCTGACTGGAAGAATTTTAAAAGTGTCTTGACGATGTCTTTGTGAAGTTGTTAAAATCTTCACTTAAAGCTATAGCTTTAAAGTTGAAATTTTGAAATAAAGGCTTGTGGTGGATGATTTCGGTCACCATAATACCGTGTACTTTACATCTTCTCTAGTCCTCGTTCTCATTATAACATGCCAATAGTCTACAAATATCATTAGCATTAGAACTTTAGACGGTCCTTACACCCAAAGTAAAGTTCCATCGTTTTTCGACATACTTATTGTTCACAACGATGCTGAGAGGTTCGCAAAATTTGGGTCCCTTGCCAGATTGAACCGCGACTTCCTTCTCCGAGGGCTGGCGCATTACACACTGCGCCATGGATGCCCTTGGGCTGCGTTTCTTTCAGATAGTTCTACCTAAGTAACATTTTAAACCAGAAAAAAGCTCGTATTTAAGGGGTTATGTAAAAAATTTCATTTGGAAGGAAACTCTTTCAAAAATCACTCGTGTTCTTGACTGAACTACTAATGAATTTAAACGAGATTTTCTTGCTCAAAATCACTGCTAGTACGATGTTCGTCCATCGCCTTCACACAGTCTTTTCTTTCACAAGGGAAACGAAAATGGTAGCCAATCGGGCTGTAAACCATAAATTTAAAGCAACTGAATTTCGCAGCGTCTCCTTTTGGGTACCTGGTGTTAATGGGTTTCGAACTGACATGTATAGCGTGGGAATCATTCCCCCACATCTTTCCCTCACTAAAAGGGCTCGCAAAGCTGCAGGTAAAGAGAATTACCGGTCAAGTGGAAATTGTACTGGCGGTAGCACTATTTTTCGTGATTGGCAAAAGAGGACTATTCAAGTTAGAATACGATTCAATTTATATATTACGATGGAGTATAGAGCACTTGATATCGCGTTATTTACAATCACCTTATTTACATAGTCATTATGCTGAGGCACTCCACCTCCTCAGCTGTTCCCTCGGCGGTGGACTGAGAGGGAAACCAAGCTCTCATTAGTACACTATCTACCGAAACACTCTTCATATTTCAGAAGAACGCGAAAATTCAATTTCTGGATTCAATTTGGACTATGGCATCTTCAGCTATAGAGAGGAGCTTGTTTACCTGAGCTTCACAAATGTAATTACTGGAACCTTAGCCAAGGAGTTTGAACCAAGAAAATATCAGCTAAATATGAATGAAATGATTCAAGTTTCTTGTACGCACTAAAAACAAGCGTTCTACTTCTAAAATAAAATGTGTTTGGCAAGCATTTAGTTTTTTTGAAGTAATATTCGAATGGTTTGATCCTCGGAGAGCATCATGGATGATGCGAAGAACAAAAAGCCGAAATGAAGCCAACAACAAAAATGCTAACGAGAACTTTTCCTCATAACTGTCTTACATCATCCAATCCATTCAGTTATTTTTAAGGAAAAGAAAAGTTCTAGAAGAACTTGAGTCATATTACTATGAGCTGGGAAACTTCACTTCTACGGATCGAAATCGCTATGTCATGTTGTGGTGGTGGTTGCGGTTCCGGTTGCTTAATTCCGGTTGCAATATTTAATCTGCTCACTTTATGTGGAAAGTTCCTCAAACATCAAACGTTTTATGTCCCAAAGGAATAAAGTACAAGAATGAAGAGCGTTGGAAAAAAACTCAAAGCAAAGGTTCGAATTCGAGCTCGATTCGAAATAACGACCCATGTGTCATGAGCCGATTGCATTCTCAGTTAAGCTTTGTCTCCCTCTAAACGACATCTAACGCCTACGACCACCATTAGAAATCTATTAGGATGTTCTCATTCTTCACTACCACCAAGATGGCTAGACATCCTTGAAGTCTATTGAATTCAGTTCTTGAATTGCAGTAGTCCATTCATGGCGGAACTGGTGGTAGTGGGAGTTTCTATCTGAATGCGAAAAACTGGCAAATAGCTCCGACTCTATTTCTCAGACTCGACCAACTAGTAGTACCTTAGCTGCAAAATTTCTGTAAAATTTTCTGTAGAATTTCCATTACTTCGAAAAAAAAGACGATTCTTCATAAAATAAACAGAAGACTATCCTTTTTAACGACCTACTAGTGCTTTTCGTCCTTTAATCTTAAAGTAGAAAAACTTTCTCTATAAATCCAAAAAACAGGGAAAACGATCAATATGCAGAAATAAATGTAACATAATGTTAACTTTTCATATGCTGCCTACTACAATTTTTTACGGCAGGGTGTTATGCGAAAAACAACCACAACGGTGCCGAGATATTTGCAAAACTCCGGACCGCAGGTGTCTCCGCTGGGGACGAACGCACTATTACCCCATTTAGGAGACTAAGGCATTCACCACCACACCGTGCGGGTCCTTAGTTTCGCCTCTCTCTCGGCTAGTTTCCCATCGTATTTTCTATCTCTGCATCATTGTAGATTTAACATAGTTTGGCAGCGAAGTAGGCCAGCACGAAGAAAAACATTTCATTGCTGACTCCTTTCTTCAGGACAGCACAGAAAACACAAGGTATTGAAAAAAGATGAAAGAAGGTTCGGGTACTGTAAAAAGATAAAAATGAATGAAGCTTGTAAATTGGGTCAAATAGATGACCAGTGATTTATGACTGCGTATGACTTCATCCCAATGAAAGGCTATAACACTCATAAAACCACCAATTTATACGCTTCTACTAAAAGAATAGCATAACGTGTTCTTTTAATCCAGACAAAATAACAATGGAACATAAAAGAGCAAAAGTTGTTGATGAAGGAATAAAAGGAATATTTCTGATTTTATAAGGAAAAAATCACAACGCGGTCGATGCAACTCACATGTTGCAGCCAGACATTCGTCGTCATGATTTGGTTCTTTTCATGCTGAAAAAAAAGTAATTAAGGAAACTAGAGAAAACAAACTCAAGTGAATTTAAGAGCTTAGGAAACAACAAGAGGCTTTCCCCCAATCTATTAAGAATTTGGAGAGTTTTGATACTACTCTTTAATTCTTTCCACTTCTGCTCAGCAAACACGAGGTGCTATTCCACTTCCCCACTCACGTAAAAGCTGACGTTTCGGCGGATTTCGCCTTCCTCAGAGCCGCTTTCTATGAGTCTTCCACTGAGTATGTCGTGTGAAGACCAACCGCACAGAATTCACCTCGAAGCGGAATTCTCTATTCGTAGCATTGAAGAGCTGATTGCGTGTATAATCAATGACCTGCATTGGCCTTCCGATGAGGTAACAAATTAATGTTTTATCCTCCCACACGATGTTGGGAGCTTTTGTTAACTCAGGGGATCAGATCGAACCAGCGACGGAGTGTATATTGAAAAGCAAAACACCTCGAAGCACTGAGCTACACCTCCTTTTTTAGTATCCATAGAAAGCTAGGTAAACCGTATAAATAAACTCCAACGATTTCTCATCTAGTGTCCAGTGAAGTTCCTCTTCTATAACGACTTTTTTCCATAGTACTTCTTCATATTCAACCAGATCCTCTTTGAAATTCACAGTTGCTCGCTATAGGCCCTGAGTGATATGTCAAATTGCGATATGATTGCATCATTGAATAATCTCTAAACGACGGATGGCAGATAGTGCAATTTGGCAGGCGCCCTGGCCGTTTTGATGAGCCATCATCTTCCCTTGTCTCCTACACCCGGATTCCTTCGACGCGCTCTCTGCCCACGAGTGTGGACACCAGTACTGAGCGCCTCGGGAGGTCCCACGGAATCCCCGACCTCTACATTCTGCCGTGAATTCGAATGTTGAAATCCGAAAACAAAACCATAAAGTGTTTCAAGAACGACATTAAGAAACGAGAAGACCAGAGCACGTCATGACATGGTGTAAAAGAGAAGTGACGTTTCACTATGGGAAATATAATGGTTATTTATTTGAATCACAGCTGTTTGAGCCGCGGCTTAAAGGACATTTCTGCTAGTTGAACATCAGTACAACCTGGAAGGGAATAGCCTTTGGTATTAGATTTCTAACATTACTCAAAATAATAGAGTGCGCGTGGCGCACTGGTCGGAGGCGCCGTGCAACACACGCATGTGATCGATTCTCGCCCCCATGGCTTACCAAGCCTTCCATCCCTCCAAGGTCAGCGAATTGATACCACACTTGTCTGGGAGGACAGCAGCACTGGCTCGATACATCGGTAGGCCACCGCGAGTCATTGTCATGGCCAGATATGCAGTCAACCACCTCCAACGATGTTTAATGAAGTCGAATGCACGGTGCATCCCTCAGGCGTTAATCAGCGCCGAGAGCTCAATCCTTTTATTTCTTGAAAATAGTGATATGGAATGATTGCGAAGCTTCCAAAAATGAAGGAGTAGTAATCAATTTCAGAGTTCCTTAGTTGATATAGCGAAATTTGGTTATGTATCACTTTTGACAAACACCTTACTACCGATGTGAACATAAAACGTATTCTTTTTGATTTTTTTTGTCGTGTGTGGAAAAGCCTATGAAGTTTTTGCTGGATTTTCGGCGCCGACTGATGAGGTGACCTCACTCACCACGTCGAGCAGCTGGCTGAGTTTCAGCTTGAATCTGACGATCAGTGTGTCACTGTTGTTGTCCACGGGTCGGACGAGTTTATTGTAGTCGGCCAGGAGATCCTCGAACAGACGATTTGCATCGCGGTTCGCTTGCGACATCACGTACATCGCCACCGCCCACGCTATCACGAACACTCGTCGCGTCAGCATTCGGCCCCATCCACTGGAAATCGACAGCGATTATTAATCATCAGTCGAATATTCGAAGTGATTGAAACCATTTTATATAGCAAAGAAGGGATTTCTGCTGTTCTATGAAGAAACTCTCTTTAAGCATTAAATAAACACGTATAACTCAATTTCAGTAATTTGGAGATGTGGACAACATTTCTCTAAGGTACAAAACAAGTCCGAGATCTCGTTTTTTCTGTCTTGCCAGAGATGCTCCATAAGGAGAAGGGGTTCTCGAGCCCTCGAATGACTGTGTTTTCCATGAAACTTGTAAAAAATATTTTCCTACTCGGGGCATTTCTTTGGCAACTGTTTGAGAAAAACTGACTGACTGACCTTCTATCTGTTGGTGACCGGTTGGCTACATGTGGCCATCAATTCGGCGGAATCTGATCAAACGTAAGGATAAAAAAGAACTGAAAATATGATGACGTATGCAAAGAAAATCGAATTCCAGTTGGATTATTCGGTATGTTCCCTAGTTTCTTTCTTAAAGTCGATAAAAGAATCAATTCAGAGAAAGCGGATAAAAGTAATGAGTCTGCTTCTGTGTGGCCCTACTAGGAAATAATTCAGTCTAAAGCTCATTGGAAGTGGCGACAACTTCGAACACTCCGTAAGATGGGTGTCGCTCGTCTAGCTCAAGAAAATCACTTTCGGCAACGACACACACAGTTAGAGGAGAAGACTTCACATCGCAGTAAGCGTTGAACAAGAACTATCGACAAAACGGACATTGATCGACGTAGGTCATACTCATCACCGTGACCGACAAGATATTGATTGACAGAGATCATGTTTGTCATCGTGTTCGACACAACAGCTTTAAGAGGAGCACGAAGAATAGTCGCTAAATGAGAAGTATAGTTAACGAAAAGCAAATGTGTATGTCGAAAATGAAAAAAATTGCATGTGATGTTTAAATGTGAAGGAAAAATGTTAACTAATCAATGATGAAAAAGACTGCACTGCAAGGCTTCTGGTGAAAAATCGATAGTAAGGAGATATGAATGCCAAGGAAACGACGATCAAATGCCAATTCATACAATGACAGCTGCGTTTACGAAACGATAAAAAGTGCACATAAGGAAATAAATGACTGAATGAGGAATGAAGTGGAAGAAAAAAGGACTTCGTTTTGTGCGTATCTGCGGTATCTCGAAAAGCGGTCATCATAAGAATGGTATGTGATTACAGGTAGAAAGGAAATAAAAAATGAGTAGGGATTAAGTCGTAAAAGGTGCAGATTTTCTTTGTAGACATGAACAGTTCAGCAGAAAGAAATGCTCCGCAACATATAAGATACAAATCGATTGCTGAGACGACAAAGAAATGTGAAAAACTGCGCCGTAGCCATGAAGATTTCTCAAAAGAGCAGATAGAAACAGGTTTGTGTTCTACTGGTTGCAGAAATGTTGGAGCAAAAGTAAAAATGAAAAAATGCCACTCTAAATTACAGCTGGAAAAATTATAAAGGTTGTCCTTCAACCTTTTTTCTTGTTTTCATCTCCTTTTTTTCTGAAGAGATGTAAATTCACTGTGAACGACTAGATGATGAGAGGAATATTTTGTGCAGAGAGTGTAAAAGATAAATGACAATGAGCGACGTTGAATAAGCCGATGGGTAAGCCCGTTAGGCAGGCTTAGTGTGGCTGGCCGGAAGAGCAGAAACAGCTGGACAAGTAATACACATTCCAGTGAATGGTACACGACAGCAGTATGTCTTGAGAGCTAGAGCGGGAAGCCCAGCAGAAAGTGGTGACTTTGGTGCTGCAAGTGCATGCCATCCGGTTGGAGAAATTTACAGGAATACCATCACAGACGCTGCCGGTCGGCACTACAAGTGAATGGCATGAGGAAACTGAAGAGGACTACTTTCTTGACGGCGTTTAGCAAGCAAAACATAGATGAATCTAAAGATAATTTATAGATTTTTAACAAGGAAGATACTCTAATATAAAGGCTCTAATTTAACCGAAAACTCCTGCTTGGTTATTCAGACACAGTGGCATAAGTTTTTCAAAAACTCCTAGGAACGCGAAATTCCTTTTATATCTACAACTTCCCATCCAGTAAGAAACGTAATTCCGGTATGAAGTTCCAGACAGTACAAATATATACTTGCCTAATACCGAGCTAAAAAAGCTTAAAAGACTATGATGAACAAAAATACAATTGGTAGGCTAACGGCGGGAAATGTGAGGAAAGAAATCCATGATTCTCCAATTTTCTGGGAGACACTTTTCAAACAGAAAGAGGACAGGTATTTGATCAAAGCAAAACAGAAAAAACCAGTGAAGATAATTATTAGCATTGACATCTTGGATTGCTAAGCTAACATAAAGATGGCAAATACTTTTATTCGGCTAACGTTTCAGCGACTTTACCTTCTTTAGAGCTTTCGAAATTATTATTAGCTTTGAAGAGGACTGAGTTCGACTTAATAATGTTCCGTTAGACGAACAACAACTGGCAATGCTCAGCTACCAATGAAAAAAGTCTGATGCAAGACTAAACAACGGTTGAACCGATTAGACTGGACGAATGCGAACTAATGAAAATCACACAGAGGGAATTTAACCTTGGAGAATCTAATCCACAAAACATGAGCAATACTAGGGGTGGTTCGAACTTGCTGTTTCAGTGGCATATATTCCCGTGCGATTTGTTAGTTACTTAGTGCTCTCATAACAATTACCAACACCAGGTGTAGGGAAATTCCCTTTATAAAAACACTACCGACACATGCCAGCCTGTGCGGTGATGGGAAAGAAGCGAATGAGATCGTTTTAATTCTTTTGGGGGGACTAATGTGTGAAACGAAGCTTTTCCGTTATCATTTGTTGCAAGCTGCAAAGCGAGTTCGTCAATGATCGAGTTGGAAGCCCATTTCAGTTTTATCGCCTGGAAAACAACAAATGGAATATCGCAGGTCTTCATTGGTATACCTACAAGAAAATGTCGGAATTTGGCAAAATAAGCTGTTAAAGTGTCAATCAATGCTCGCCTAAGACAGCACATAGTCCGCCTGAATATTAGAAGAAGTTTCGCACTTCAGTGAAATCCCTCTACAATGATTAATATTTTTTAAAAAGTTGTCAGGGAAATCGGAGCTAAGAAGAGCTTGGTCTTTGTCATTGTCAAATTTATCAAATCAAATTTGTCTTTTGTCGTTGCCAAATTTTGACAAGGGTGAACCTTATTTTTAATTTACTAGTTCTATTTGTTAAAAAGGTGCTCGTGTAGCGCAGTAGTTAGAGGTGCCCTGCAATGCACACCTGTTCTTTGGTTCGATCCTGTGCTCCGGGATCACACCAAACCGACCATCTCTTTGGGGTTAGCAGATTAGTGCGAAACTTGTGTAGGAGAATAGGAGCGCACTTAATATGTTGATAGGACACCGCGAGTCACTGTGGTAAGCCAGGAATGCACTTAATCACCTCTGCGATGCTCATTAAAGTCAAATGGATGGCGCATGCCACAGGGATTGATCAACGCAGCACGCTTTGTTCTTACGCTCTTTATTCGCTTTGTTTTTACGCCTTAATGATTAAATAGTTATTTCTTGGGTGGCTTTAGCAACATACATAGTCGGATGAACGTAATGTTTCCTTTACAGCCGAGACGATCGAAATAACGAGCATAACTGTTTCTTCTCGTGCGAAGTTCGAAAGATTGTTGGGATGCTGATGGCTTCTCCATTTCCTCCTACTCAGGAGACACTGAACTATTCGTTGTAGCTTTCGATTCCATTCTCTTGGTTCCCTTGTAGATAAAGGACTCAGCTCTACAGGGTTTCGCAAGCTCTCCTTCCTTATATTGCAGAACTCATTCACATTTCTAGCCTTGTGACTTGAAACCAATTATATCTACAAAAATATCAACGAGGATAGTATTATCGTGATCACCGAGTGAAGTTACAAATCTTGTATGTGGAATCCGAGCCGAAATCAAATACTTGAATTCAACTTCAAATCTGGAGAAAATCACACCTTATGTCTGTTATGTGATCCAGCTAAGCAACAGGTATAAGAATAAGGATGTGAAAGTAACCCAGTAAACGCAAACACTAACCCGCTGCACCTCGACAAGAGGAGTCGAACCTCATCGTCGAGCTCAAAATCGATGTCCGTCCAGTTCTAACTCATACGACAACCGCACGCTATTTTCGCCTACCCGTTGGCACAAGGGCGATGAGGAAAATGCGCCCCACCCTATATCTTCGAAAATTCCAGTCGTTTGGACCGACAGAATGAAAAATAAAAGCGGTGAGGGCTGTTCGACGTACGAACCACGGCAACCGAACAAAGGATTTGCTTACTGAGATCTGGAAGTGTTTTCCATAAGAGGAATAGGACACCCTCAATGCTATGGGATAAATCATTCCCAGAAAAAGTCTTTGCTCTAAACTATTATTTTCCATCAATAAAAGCAAAACAAATCACAGCACTTCTTGTGAATAGATGGCTGAAGCGAAAGCAAAGAAGATTTCAATTAAAACCGTTTCCATTACAGAGCTGGTGCAGAACAGACGACATGAGTCTTCACTCCTCTTATTATGGCGCTGTAGGGAATTCATAGCGACGTCCATTGTGGTTATTTTTCCCGGCCACATTGACACACATTTATTTTATTACACGATGGAGTATGGGGTTGGGACTTCCGCTTCTAACAAGAAATAGCCCGTCTAGAGTGCAACTACAGAAGCTCAATTTTTCTGTTGAATAAATTGTTTAGTTTGTTATATCTGAAGAAAATCTCGAGTGGAACGAGGCATGAACACCACACCATTCTGCCTTTGCTTCGACTTTTTGAGCCGCTTTCTTCGCCCTAAAGTTGTTGTTTTTCTACAGATTACTAACACCAAATCTCTAATCTCTCTACTGACATCATCAATGTGGTCGCGCCTTCTGATCCATGTCCGCTACTGCGAAACCCTTTTCTCTTTGGGAGACAATGCAAATCCGAAAGCTTCCACA